ATCTCTGAGTAGACAGAGTAGCCGTCGCTGCGCCGCACCTCACGCATGAACTTCTCCGCAGCCTCGCAGCACGCGCCCGTGGGCCCGCACTCGACGACGAGACAGAGGTGGTTGACGCGAGATGCCTCCCAGTCGTCATCGGCGCACTCGCGAGCGTGCGCCCCGAGCGCCTCGCGGAGTGCGTCTGCAGCAGGACCAGCGGCACGGCCGAGTCCGACGACGATGGCGCCCGATTTGACGGCCTGCTTGATCGATTCGTCGGCGGTCGACATGGCTTTTTACGCTTCGCCTGCAGCCGAGAAATCGCCGAGGCTCAGATGGTAAGGATGTGCTCTGGGATGCGCGCGCTGTGATGAGGCTCCGCCTCCGTGGTTAAGACCTCGGAGCCTCTCCCGAGGCTAAAGAACGTTGGAAACGAAAGAAAACCTAGCCGAAAACGACGCGACAGAGGAGGAAGTTAAAATCCCTGTGTGGTGGCGGGCGTGCCGTTCTCCCATCCCTCCCTTGGGTTGTCTGTTTTCTTTCTTTCTTTCTTTCTTTTTCTTTCTTTCTTTTTTTCTTTCAAGGAGGGCGGAGTTGCGCCGAAAGGCGAAAGAAGCCGCGAGAACAAGGGACCGGCAGGCGGCGGCGTCGCAGGACGAGGCAGAAGAGAGCGACGCGACAGAGGAGGAAGTGACAAGGGAGAGAACGACGAGAGTGGGACGACCGCGAGGTGGCATGAAGGTTGCAGCGAGAAGCGGCGAGAGACTGCGAAGAGAGATAGGAAGAGGCAGACTCCCTAGGGTGGGCGACGGCTACTCGAGTCGGGGGCTAGCGCATCACACACCTGTGTGTGTGTGTGTGTGTGTGTGTGTGACGCTTCTTCGGCGAAATTTTGATCCACCTCTTTGTCGACAAAGCTGTTCCCGAGATCCTGCTGCTCGACTGCGCAGCGGAACGGGCCCCGGAATGCTGAGATGTGAGGCGCCGGCACCGGGGCTACAACGCGGGGCCATCTCCAGGCTGTCTCGGGCAACTTCAAAATTGGCGCCTCTCTCTGCTGCTGCTGCTGCTGCTGGTGCTGCTGCTGGTGAAGATGCTGCTGCTGGTGCGGCTCGGCTCTCCGACTCGACTCGCCGCGGGCGTCGCGGGCTTCTGACGCGGCGGGCGGCGTCGCGGGCGGCAGCGATCGCGGCTCGACGGTGGAGGTGGAGGGTGGTGGCTGTGGTGGACCTTTGAGTTTGTTTAATGGTCGAGTACGAGGACTGGACGGTGGAGGTGGAGGGTGGTGGCTGTGGTGGACCTTTGAGTTTGTTTAATGGTCGAGTACGAGGACTGGGGGTCAACAGGGAGGCAGGGGACTCGACCAGGCGACGGAGGACTGTGGGCCATCGCGGGGACGGCCCGCCGGAGGCGGGCTCGATTGATCCGGATGGTCTCACCCGGTGGGAGGAACCGAGGCGTCTAGGGCGCTCCACTCTACCTTAAGCTCCTGAGGGGCGCGTGGTTGTAACCACGTAGTAGGACTACAGCCCACCACAGACACTCTCCCCACTCATCACGTGTGCACACTCCCTCACCCTCTCCTCTCTCCTCTCTCTCTCTCTCTCTCTCTCCTCTCTCTCCTCTCCTTGTCTGTGCTGTCTGCCTGACTCAGGCACTAATTCTGCCGATGCGTGATTGTGTGTGGGCTGCTCCGAGGGGGCCCTGTGCGATCCGATGGGTAGGGAGTCTGTGCCCGGGCGGTGTCCGGTGCGGAGTCTCTCTCTGATCCCACCTGTGATGTTGGGTGTGAGGTTGTGGCGGCTTCGATCCCAAGGGGGGGAGCTGATCCCACTCAATAACCAACTCTCAGGGGCAGTAGGTGGGCGAGCCTCGAGCGCGCTCATCTCGATCGTCAAGGCGTCGCTACGCGCGGTCTTCCGCGGGGGGAGCTTCGTCGACGGGTGCGGGATCACGGCGCAGTCAGTGCCGTGGCGATGCCTCCGGCTGTTTGCGGCGGGCGGCTTGCTGCTCGCTGCGATGGCAAAAAACTCGTCTCGCGGCACACCAAGGGCTTATGCTCTGGCGAGACGTGAGGCGCATGCGCCCAGGAGGGGAGGGCGCATGCGTAACGACGCTGCTAGAGATGCGTTTCGGGGCCCAGAGATAAAACTTCTGATGCCATGCATGACCTAGTAGTGTCCCCAGCTATGGGCGTGTCCACGTTGGAGCCAGGTGTGGTGTGGGCGCGAGAATAGCTCCGCCGTTAATGGAGGCAACCGATGCGAGTCGACTGGTGTGTGTCGTCGTGGTTTCGTATCAAGAATACTCACTCACTCACACACCTCTCCTTAAAATCCCTGTGTGGTGGCGGCGTGCCGTCCTCCCATCCCTCCCTTGGGTTGTCTGTTTTCTTTCTTTCTTTTAGGCGGCGGCACGAGGGCCCAGGGCTGGCAAGCTTGAATTCTTCATCGCGCTCTCAGGCGTGTGTTCTTCTTGCTTGGGCGGACCTCATGCCGGGGTAGGTAGGGTAGGTCTGCGCCCTCCCGTCGGGTTTTTCCCTCTCTTCAAGCCGGAATTTTCACAGCAGAAAAAGAAATTTTCCGCGGAAATCACGATGTCAACCCTCCCCAAATGGGTGATCTGATGCTTGTAGGGCTTGAGAGTGGCCTGCCATGTCACAAGAAGGACTGTGGTTGCAGGAGAGTACCACAACCATCGCTCTAGTTGGTATAGTAAAAGAAAGAAGTGAGGTAGTACTCGGCCTTTGATATCCGGGCGGTGCGAGATCGAATCGAGAAGGACCAGGCGAGGGGGGAGGCGACGCGACTACTGGGCAGTCTACGGCCTGATGCGGAGAGGGGGGGGGGAGAGGCGGGGCCGTCGACGAATCCGGGCCCTGCCCCCCCCCCTCCCCGAGGGGAGACGAGAGCTAGGCCCCCCCTCACGAGCGGGGTGGACGGCCGACGCGTGGAGCCACGGCTGGAATGGCCGCAGAGGCAGGGGGCATCCCCCGAGGCCCCGCCCCAGGAGGTGCGGCGGCCGGCGCCGCCACCGGGCCCGCCCCCGCCACCACCACCTCCGCCCCCGCCGCTGGAGCGACCGCTGGGTCGAGGAGCCGCCCCTGAGGTTCCGCACCAGGCGGTGCGGCCGCCAGTGCCGCCATCGTTTCCGCCACCCACACTGCCATTTCCACCCCCGCCACTGGAACGGCTGCAGGGTCGTGGGGCCGCCCCAGCGGCTCCACACCGGGCGTTTGGGCCGCGAGGGCCGCCACCGTACCCGCCGCCCCTGCCACCGCCTCCACCCCCGCCGCCGGCGGGGCCGCCGCCGTGTGGACCCGCTCGGAATAACCTGGGGGGGCCGGGACCGCCTCGCCGGAAGCTGGTGTACCCGGGAGGAGGAGATGGGGGAGGGGAGTTACCGCGGTACGATAGCGGACCCGCCGGCGAACCGGAAAGCCGAGGCCGGAGGACCCGAGGGGGGGCTTGGGGTCAGTTGTCGGAGGAGGTGAGAGATGAGCTAACGCGGCCTCTGAGAGTGGAGTCGGGACGTACGGGCTCACCGAAGGAAGGCCAGCCGCAGTGGCAACCGGACCACCACGACCTTCGACAGGGAGGGCCACGCCTCCCCGAGCCTGGAGAGGAGCCGGCGGAGGGGGGGGGCGAGCCAGGGACTATAGAGAGGCCGCGGGTGCGGGCACGACTCGCTGACCAGGGAGAGCGGGCTCGACCTCCTGGGGGTGGAACTGGGCGCGACCCAATGCCACCGTTCTCACCCGGGGTGACCCCGGCCGGGTCGTCGACACTCTCAGAACCGGTGGAGCTGGGAGAGGCTGGCGAAGACGAAAGGCGGCAGCGGAGGAAGCGACACCAACAACGAGGGAAAAGACCACACCGGCCGTCGTATGACGCTCGGCAAGCGAGCAAGAGAGCGAATCGGGGAGAACCGGAGCCCCGAGAGGACCGAAGGTGGAGCTCCGGGACCGAGGACTAAGCAAGTGTCTGTGTTTGGGCGTGGTGTCCAGTGTAATGTCCACTAGCTCCGAGTAGAGGGGGCGTCCTGCAGTTAAGGGGAAACCCGGTACGCGGGTCCAACCCTCGGAGAACTGTGTTTACTTTAAGGCCCTTGCCCTGCGAACGCGCACCCCCGGGGCTAGGGCTTTCTTGCCCGTAACCCGATGCCAATCATCCGGCCCGCTGGGTGCGCTTCTGAGCTCCCCGGCCCTGGATGTGCGGTTACTGACTGCACTCCAAGTGCTCCAAGTGCATCTGACTATCCCGGATCCTGCTGAACAAGTTCCTCTTGTAGCTCGATCGGTCACACCGCCATCGCCGTCGGGGAGAGGGGGGACGACACTGCTTTGGCAGCGTGCACCTCGATCCTGTACCGTGTTTGTTATGACCCCCCCCACCCAATGAACACACCAGTGAGGGTGGGCGAGACGATCGAGGGGTCCCGTACCATGCGGAACCGACCCTATCCAGTGCTCAAGTGCTCAAAGAAAGAAAAGAAAACAGGCACCCCAAGGGAGGGATGGGAGGAGGTATAGTACCCCACCTTCACCCATCACTTGGAGCACTTGGAGTGCAGTCAGTAAGACAGTAACCTCACATCCAGGGCCGGCATCGAGTGAATCCTTTTTTTAGTTTCCCATAAGTAAGGTAGGTAGGTAGGTAGGTAGGGGCAGGGGAGAGGCCGGCCGGGTTTTTCCAGAATTCTGCATGGTGTACCTGTGTTCGTGCCAGTGCGCGCCAGTCCCGTGCCCAGTGTTGTGCGAGGGAGTTTCGTTGTAAGATTCTGCATGAGGTCCGCCAAGGAAAAAGAACACAAGCCCCGCTCTCACCTCGTCCGGTCGAGCGCCACCGGCGGTGCGCACCGGGCTTCCACGATGAGATCCGTGTCGTTCCTCCTTTTCATGGCTCCGGTCGCGACTGCCTCGCCCGTCATGGCTGGCTTCGGCTCCGGCATGACGGCTCCGACCGACACCGACATCCTCGAGAAGCTCCAGTCTCTCTACGCAGAGAAGCTGCGGCCGCTGGAGAAGAAGAGCCGGTGGGTGTCAAGCCGCCTCCACCCGCCGCCGCGCGCCTTCGAGTGGCAGCGATCCGCCCGGCCGCAGCGCGAGCGCATTTCCCGGTGCTCTCCAGGTACAACGAGATGGCCGAGCCCGCGCTGTCGGACGCGTGGTTCGAAGCCAAGCCGATGGTGCTGCTCATCGGCCAGTACTCGGTGGGCAAGACGTCCTTCATCAACTACCTGCTCGGCCGCGGCTTCGCCGGCTCGCGCGTCGGGCCCGAGATGACGACGGACCGCTTCGTCGCCGTCATGTACGGAGACGCGGAGAAGACGACGCCGGGCAACGCGCTCACCTCGCAGCCCGACACGCCCTTCCACTCGCTCAAAAAGTACGGGACCAACTTTCTGAACCGGCTCGAGGCGGCGGCGCTGCCGTCGCCGATCCTCAAGCGGGTGACCCTCGTCGACTCGCCCGGCGCGCCGAGAGAGAGCGAGCGCCCGCGGGCCGGCGTGGGAGCTTGGCGGCGTGATGGTGTGCGGCAGCGCTGTAGGTGTGCTGTCGGGGGAGAAGCAGCGCGACCGCGGGTACGACTACAACGGCGTGGTGACCTGGTTCGCGCAGCACTCGGACCGGATCCTCCTCCTCTTCGACGCGTACAAGCTCGACCTGTCCGACGAGTTCAAGGACGCGACGAGGCTCCTCCAGCCGACTCCTTCCCTCCGTGAGGCACTGACATCCTGTCTCGTGGCTCGTAGGACGTGATGAAGCTCATCCAGGCGTACGACAAGAAGGTGCGCGTGGTGCTCAACAAGGTGGGGCGGCGTCTACGAGCGGCTCCTCGGGGCCGGCACGGAGCCCTCTCGACACTTCCGGAGCCCCTCCCCCCACAGGCGGACGGCGTCTCGCCGCAGGACTTGATGCGCGTCTACGGCGCGCTGATGTGGAACGTGGGCGGAGTCATCCCGTCCGCAGAGGCGCGAGAAGCTCGCAAGCACCCTCGCCTCCTGCCCCCGCCACGCCTGCTTCGTCGCACGGCGCCCGCCCCGCCCGCCCCGCCCGCCCCAGGTGCCGCGCGTCTACATCGGCTCCTTCTGGGACCGGCCATGGCAAAACACCGGCGCACCCCCCCCCCCTCCCCCCTCGCCCCTCGCCCCGAGGGTCGGCACGCCTCCCGCACACCTCCCGCTCGAGCTCTGCGCCGCAGGGATGCTCGACCTCATGGAGGCGGAAGAGAACGACCTGATCGAGGACCTGGTGACGATGCCGCAGAACAACGCGAGTCGCGACGCAGCGCGGGGGAGGCGGGCGGGGCGGGCAGCCCCGAGGCACGGCCTCCGCCCGGCCCTGTAGGTGATGAACAAGATCAACGAGATCGCGCGCCGCGCGCGCGTGGTCGAGGCGCACACGCACCTGCTCGCCCACTTGCGCGCAAAGGTGGTGGCAAAGTGGTACGGCAAGCGCGAGGAGCAGGCCCGCCTCTCTCTCTCTCTCTCTCTCTCCCTCTCTCTCTCTCTCTCTCTCTCTCTCTCTCTCTCTCTCTCTCTCTCTGCCTCTCTCTCTGCCTCTCTCTCTCTGCCTCTCTCTCTCTCTCTCTCTCTCTCTCTCTCTCTCTCTCTCTCTCTCTGCCGAGGGGCTTCGAACTACCGACGGGACCCCCCACCAGCTCACCAGCCCAACCCCCTCACAGGCGCGGCTCTGCACGCCCGAGGGGCTGCTGGCCGCCTACGAGCAGGCCGCCTGCTCCTAGAGAGTTGACGGACAGTCCCCAGACAGTTCCCAGAAGCTTCGTAGACAGTTCCTAGAGGGCCGCACAACGAGCAGGAGCAAGCGCCGCCGCCCCCTCCGCCGTCAGTGTGTGTCTGAGCTGCCCCTTACCGAGGGGGGCGGTGTGGGCGGGGAGTAGGTCTAGCGCACGGCCTTCTAGGAGCGGTCTAGGAGCTGTCCAGGAAGCCTCTACGAGCCTTCTAGGTGCAGCGCGAGCACGACCTCTCGCGCGGCGACTTCCCGCTGCCATCCCGCATGGCGTCGGTGCCGCCTCATACACACGTCCTAGCCACCGCCCTGCACACTTCCCGCTGCCATCCCGCATGGCGTCGCGCGCCTCCCCCTCCCCGCCCTGCAGGTGCTCCGCGCGTACGATTTTACCGACTTTTACAAGCCGTCGGTCGAGCGGTCGAAGAAGCTCAAGGCGCTGCGTGAGCTCACCGAGTGCGACATCCCCGAGCTGATCACGCGGCTCCACTCGGTGCAGCAGCGGAGGCAGGCCTCCGTCGTCCACCGTCCAGGACACGTCCACGACACGTCCGAGACATGTCCCGCAGGTGCAGAAGCGGAGGCAGGCCTCAAAGGCGTCCATCGTGGAGGGCTTCCGCCCGCTGCGCAACGTGCGCCCGCCGCCCCCCGAACACCTCTTCGAGAAGAAGCTCGAGAGGCAGGCCGGCGTCGCGCAGCCCTCCGTGCTGCGCGCGATGCGCGCGAGCCCGTGGGCCCAGCCCTCCTCGCACATCTCCTCGCCCGCCGCCGCCCTCCGACGCGGTGAGCTCTCCGCCGCAGAGGCGCCGCCAGAGGCGGCGCCAGAGGCGGCGCCAGAGGCGGCGCCGGCGCCGCCGCCCTACAGCGTGGCGGCCGCCGCGACGGGGCCGGAGGGGGCAGTCGACGACCTGAATGGAGGCGGTTTGGGGGAGACGAGCGGCGGCGTGGATGCCGAGGTGGGCCGCGGGGCGGGCGGGAGAGGGGGAGAGCCGGGGGGGGGGGGGGGGGGAGGCCCAGGCCAAAGCCCCCCGAGCTGTAGGTGCAAACCGAGCCGGTGCAGGCCGAGGAGCCCTCGGTCGAGGGCATCTCGCCGCCCCCGCAACAGCTGCCGCCAGGCGGGTGGGGCGCTCCCGGCATGACGGCGCCGCCCTCGCCCGCGCAGCACGGGCTTGGGGCAGCGGCTGCGGGAGAGGCTCCGCGGGCGGGCTTCGGGCAGGCGCCGGGCTTCGCGAGCCCTGGCCTCGGCTCGAGCCCCGCCGGCCTCGCCAACTCTGGCCTCGCGAGCGGCCTGCTGGGCGCCTTCCGGTCGGCCAAGGACGCCCTCGCCTCGGCCATCGCGGACGAGGAGCCGCCGGCCGGGCAGCACGGCTTCCCACCGCAGGCTGGGTTTGGGCAGGGCCTCGCCTACCCTCCGCAGCAGGCACACCCGTACCCTCCGCAGCAGGGCGCGGAGCAGGGCTACCCGCAGCCGCAGCCGCAGCCGCAGCAGCAGCAGCACGGCGGCGGGTTCGGCCAGCAGCAGCCAATCTACCCGCCGCAGCAGGGCGTGCACCAGTGGAGTGGCCACCCGCACCAAGGCATGCAGCCTGGTCACCCGGGCGGCGTTCACCCGCCAGCCGGCCAAGGGCGGGGCGAGGCCGCGCCGCAGCAGCTGCGGGAGCAGAGCTCGTTCCCTCCCCACTACCAGACGCCCCAGCAGCAGACGCCGCCGCAGCAGCCGCCGCCGCAGCAGCAGCAGCATCAACCGCAGCAGCAGCAGCAGCAGTGGCCGCCGCCGGCCGAGGCGTCGTTCGGCGGCCAGGGCTTCGGCGGCGACGGTGCCGCGGAGCAGCGCCACGACGCGGCGCTCGCCGCGCACGCTCCCCCGCCCGACTTGGACGGGAGGTGGGCGCTGGACGTGGCCAGCGGCGTGGGAATGCCGAGCGGAGCAGAGCCGTCCCACGCCGAGTCGCACGCGGCTCCGCGCGCGCCCCTCCCTGCAGCCGGAGCGTCGGAGCCCGAGCCGCAGGCGGCACCGGAGGAGGCGCACGCGGCTGCGGAGGTCGCCGACCGGGCGGGCGAGCTGGGGGGGGAGCCGGCGGTGACGCAGGAGGATGTGGGGGCAGAGGCTGCAGCCGACGGCGCGTGGCCCGAGGCGCAGGCTCCAGGCGAGGGCGCGGCAGCGGGCGGGGGGGCGGTAGGCGAGCAGGGAGCGGGCGGCGAGGACGAGGCCGCGGCGTGGGCCGCGGCAGACGCCGCGGTGAGCGAAAGCCGCGAGTCGTGAGAGATACAACATGTGCAGGTCGCGCGCTGGCGCGGCGCGTGTTGAAAGAGAACGGGGGTGGAGCGTGGAGGCTCACCATTGCGCACGAGACCGCGCGAAGCCAACCGACCCCGCGCGACCGGACCGGGGCCGCACACTCCCCGCACCGGCACACGAGAAAGGCGAAAGCGCCGCCCCCCCCGCGCGCGCGCGACCCCTGCCGTCTCGAGCCGGCCCCCGCGACCCGTACCAAAACACCCCGCAGGGTGCGGCACCGCCGCCCGCACCGGCAATGGCTCCAGTGGCAGTGCCGCACGCCTGCCAGCTGCCTGCCGGCGGCGGCGCCCACGTAACGTCGTTTCGCACGTAACCGGAACCGCCGGGCCCGGGGCGCGCTCCGTATAGTGGTATACGAGCCGGCGACGGCGGTTACGCCGGCATGGTGGTGTTTTCACATGTTATAGCACGGGTACATCAATCAGCACAACACTAATCGTCAGGACCCCTGCATGCGCGCGTCGCGCAGGGGGAGAGTATAGCACAGCGTTCTGCGGAGAAAGGGACCCTTTCCCCCCGGCGAGCGCGCCTGCCGCGGCCACGGAGGCTTACGCGAGCATCGCCTCCTTCTTGCACACGCCGTCAGCGACCGCCATGTTCGCGACCAGGTCGACGAGGCGGGTGGAGTAGCCCCACTCGTTGTCGTACCACGAGACGAGCTTCACGAAGGTGGGCGTGAGCATGATGCCGGCGCCGGCGTCGAAGACGGTGGAGCAGGTCTCGCCGACGAAGTCGGACGACACGACCTGGTCCTCGGTGTAGCCGACGATGCCCTTGGCGTACGTCTCGGACGCGAGCTTGACCTCGGCCTTGATCTCGTCGTACGTGGTGGGCGTCTCGAGCTCGCAGGTGAGGTCGACGACGGAAACGTCGACGGTGGGCACGCGGAAGGCCATGCCGGTGAGCTTGCCCTTCATGACGGGGTACGCCTTGGCGACCGCCTTGGCCGCGCCGGTGGACGAGGGGATGATGTTGGCCGAGGCGGCGCGGCCCGCGCGCCAGTCGGCGCCCTTCATGGAGCCGTCGACGGTCAGCTGCGAGGCGGTGGCGCGCTTATCCCGTATGAAGTATCTCCAAAAATGGACCAAGGCACGAAAGTCCCCGGACCCAAGTCACGGGAGATACGCCCACTATGAGACTAGCCGGGCTGCGGAGTAATCCCGCCATCGACTTGGAGTCGTAGTCGTCCTGGTTGACACCGACGACGAGGGTGGGCGTCTCGGCGTCCTTGGCGGGCGCGGAGATGATCACCTTCTTGGCGCCGCCCTCGATGTGCTTCATGCAGTCGGGCGTCGTCGTGAAGGCGCCGGTGGACTCGCAGACGTACTCGACGCCGGTGTCCTTCCACGGGATCTCCGTGGGGTCGCGCGTCGCGGAGAGCGTGACGGGCAGGCCGTTGATGGAGAGGCCACCCTCAATGATCTCGCAGGTGCCCGGGAAGCGGCCGTGGACCGTGTCGTGCTCGAGCAGGTACTTCATGTACTCGGGCGACATGGGCGAGTTGATGTGCTTGAGCACGAACGACTCGCGGTCCATGGCGATGCGCACGACCTGGCGGCCGATGCGGCCGAAGCCGTTGACGCCCAGCTTGATCGGGGCGTCGGGGTTGGCCGACATGCGGACCGGGCCAGCGAGCGAGAGCGAGGAGGTAGCGAGCGAGAGGGCCATGTTGGAATCTGCCGAATCTGGAGATTGTGGCCTAGGTGCCCAGTGAGAATATTTCGGAGGCCTAAAAGAATTCAACCCGCCAAAAATAAAAACGTCGTCCCATCCCTCCCTTGGGTTGTCTGTTTTCTTTCTTTCTTTTTCAAAAATAAAAACAATCCACCGCAAAAAATAAAGGCAAGCTCTCTGGATGTCCGGGGCTTTTTTTTGTTTTTACCTCTTCCTCGAGAGCAGGGCTGACGAGCCCAGCGTGTTTGGCCGCATCGGGCCTGCTGACCTTCGCGAGATCACCCGGGGCGCTGTGCCCCAACCTCCAGTTTGCCTCTTCCGCCGAGGAGCTCCGCACAGCGCTTCATTCATCGCCTCTCGCCACTGTTGGAAAGAGAGAAAGAAGAAGATTCTTGTTGGTCTTCAAATCTCTCTCTCTCTCTCTCTCTCTTGGACGCCTTGAGAGAGGGGACAGCCGCTTGCGGAGCTCGTCACGTCTGCTTTGTCCGTCTCGCTCGGGGGCCAGCAGCTCGAAGATGCAGGTGGACGCTCCAGCCCTCTTGCGCCCTTGGAGACCAGGCACTGCGCCGTACAGCCATGGAGATTCTGGATGTATCGTACCCTCGATTCGGCGTTTTCTTTGTACGATGATGCTCTTGCCGCCATTTATGCTCGGCTTCTCCATCTTCACATTTGGGCCACTATCCGTTGCCTGCAGTATCGATATCGTAGTGGCGAAGGGCGCGGTACTCTAGGCACTGGCGGCGGCGGCGTGAGCTCGGTGCCTGGCGGTGGCGTCTGGGTCGCCGCATCGGCGAGTGTCGCTCCGGAGGCAGCCCCGCGGCGCACGAGCACTGCCTCGTTGAGGGGGTACACGTGCCGTGGCCGTCCTACGCCGCCCCGCTTCTTGTGGACAAGGTACGACGCTCCGTCAAAACCAACGAGGGTGCCCTTGACGGCCCGTGGCCTTTCGAGGCTGCCTTTTGGGCCGCGGGCTGGCTCATCCTCGTGGTAGCTGACTTCGGTGCCAAAGAGGTACGGCAGGCGGTCGGCGTCGAAGGAGGGGATCAAGCCGTAGTAGCGCTGGTACCGCGACTCCTTCTGCACCTCGACTGGGCGTCGGTTGACGACATATTGAGCGTAGACTCGAGCAGGGATGAGGTACGACGTCTTAAGCTCGGCGCGCTGGAGGGATGCCTCGGCGACGCGCGTGAGGACGTTGTTGTTCACCTCTGCTTCCGCGACAAGTCGCGATGGAATCTGGAGAGCAGCGCGGGTAGCGCGTCGCGACGCAGCCCAGCGACGTGCTTGAGGGCGGCAACCTCAGGCGTCGATGCGTCCTTGACCTTTGAGATGGGCTCGGGTGCGTTGGCTGGGGCGGTCGGCGCAGGGGGCATGGACCCGCCCGGCACTGCGCTTGACGGTGCTGGCTGGCAGTAACTCCCTGCGGCTGGTGGCGCTGCCATGTGGCATCCGGGTATCCACGCTGGCGCAGCCCAAGCGGCTTGCGGTACTGCATTAGGCAGGGTCCAGGCTGCTTGCGGGGCCAGCCCTGTTGGGCCCCCGCCGTTGGGCATCGCAAAGCTTGGGTAGCAGGGCGCGTGAGCAGCGCCTCCGCAGGCGTGGTACGCGTTGCCAGGCGGCAGGATGCCAGGCGGCAGGAACCCTGGGTACCCTGGTGGCATGCCCAGTCCAGGCAGGTGGGCCATCTGTGGCGTCGGGGGCTGCTGCCGCCACAGTGCATCGTGCGTTGTTGCTTGCCGTGCTGCTGCTGGCGTGCTGCCAAACCCGGTGCCGCAGGAGGCGCTGCTGCCCTGGCGTGCCGGCAGAATGCCCAGCGGAGGCTGCTGCGCAAAGGTGGGCATCCAATACTGCTGCTGCGCCACCATACCTGGGATGGCACAGGAGCCCAGGTTGTATTGCGGCAAAGGCTGGCCACAGCCATACGCTGTGGCTGCTGCGGGCTGCGGCATCGCTCCGACTGGGGCGATGCCCGGGATAAGGGGATTTCCCTGGTGTTGTGCTGCTCGCTCAGGCACCGCCCACTGACCATGTTGGTCGACGGTGGGTGTATGCTGTTGAGCGTGCGGCTGCGCTGGATCGTTTGTAGCTGAGCTACCATGCACAAGACCCGCACCCGCTCCCAGTCCCACTCCGGCGTGGGGAGTGCCAGGCGGGGCGGCGAGCGGAGATGGAGAGGGCGGTGCTTCGCTGTTGCGCGAGAGCGGTGAGAGCCAGTCTCCGAGGTCGTCTTGCTCCATAGGATTCGAACAATACGAAGGAACTCCCCCCACGAAATGAAGGGACGCACGGACTAATTGATATACGAAACTAATCGGCGGTTATTATTAGCAACGGAGCGCGTGAATGGGCTACCCGTAGTGGGGTAGGCGCATGTACGAAAAGATTAGGAGCAGCAGGGACCCGAGGGACAATGTGGAAGACGGCTACTCCCCATCGCGGGAGGACGACCCCCCCCCCGGCGCTAAAGCCGTAAAGCCGTACGGTACTCAGTTGGTACGGGCCGTAGTCGCCGACCCGCACTCCACACTCACAAAGAACCCTGCACACAAAGATCGCACGCGCACGGGCGGGGACCTGTTCCTTTTTTTATTTAGTTATTCACTAGGCTCAAACCTCTAGCTACATGTAAAAGCTGGTGCGGGGCTCTCGCGACCCTGTGGAGCTGTCCCACAGGGTGGCTTCGTCACAGCTCCTGCTTGACGGTGCCCTCCTCGCCGGGTGGCCCGTCCGCGCCCCGCAGCAGCGCGTCCCTCGCCCTCCGCACCGCGGCGAGCCCCTCCTCCAGCTCGGGCGTGGCGGGCGCGATGCAGTGCGCCATGCCGAGGTACGACAGCGCAAGCTCGTGCCGCTGCAGCGGCGACGGCTGCGCCGCGTCCGAGAGCGCCGCCACGCCGTCCGCCATGAAGGCCTCGGCGTAGGCGTGCGCCTCGCCCGACGCGCGGTACGAGGAGCAAAACGCGCCGCGAGCCGCGTCGGGTGCGCCGAGCGCCTCGAGGAACTCGCCGTGCAGGAGGTGCACCTTTGGCTCCGTCGCGAGCCCTCCCCCGGGCGAGAGGAGCGCCGCATACGCCTCCGCAGTCTCCGCCCAGTACGCGGCTCGCTCGAGGGGCGCGTCCGGCCTGGCCGCCACTTCCGCCCCCGCCGCCGCCACTTCCGCCTCCGCCGCCGCCACTCCCGCCTCCGCCGCCGCCGCCGCCTCCTCGCCCCGCCCCTGCCGCAGCGCGACGACGAGCGTGCGTCTCCTCCCGCCCGACACCCGCGCCACCGCGTGCGGCAGCGACGCCGCGTAGAGGTAGAGGTCGCCCTGCTGCGGGCGGAGCGTCTGCGCGCCGAGCCGCAGCTCGCCTGTTGCAGGAAGGTTCCAGGAACGGTCTTGGAAAGGTCTAGGAAAGGTCTGCGCGCCGAGCCGCAGCTCGCCGCCAGAGTAGTCTCCGCCGGCAGAGAGCATCACGTTGACGTTGAAGGTGCGGCGAGTGCCGTCGCGCGGCTTCGTGTCGACGTGCCTGCAGAGGCGAGGCGCGTGTGTGCGTCGTGGGGCACGGGCCCCGGGTGGTCGCGAGGCGGGCGGAGGACGCGAGGCGCGCGGGTTGAGGCGCGAGGCGGGCGGACGCACCAGTCGAAGCGCGAGTGCCTCTCGTCAAACTCGTGCATCAGACTAAACTCGACCAGCGAGCCGAGCCTCTGCGCCGTGCTCGACCGCTCGCCCCCACCCCCGTGCCCGCCCAGCACTCGCGTCGCCATCGCCGGCGACAGGTGCGCCGCGACCCGCTCGTACACCCAGTCGAGCGCGCCGGCCGCCTGCAGCCTGCCGCCCTCGTCGAAGCGGTTGAGCCGTGCGACGCCGTAGTCGTCCGCCATCCTCGGCAGGTTGGGTATGCTGCGCTCGTCGACCTCGAGAGAGGCGCCCTCGGTGAAGATGCGCGCGATGCTGCTGCACTCGGCGGCAGTGAAGGCGGCAGGGAAGTAGAGCACTGGAGCCGGCTCGTCTGAGCGGCCGGTAGCGGTGGCCGCCGCTGGCAGGAGTAGCAGCATATACACCACGTATTCCACGGGTTGCTCGCGGTTGTCGGTGTCGCCCAGGGTGTCAGGGCCGAGCGGTGGACAAAAAAAATTTTTCTTCCGGCCCGCTGGGTGCGCTTCTGAGCTCCCCGGCCCTGGATGTGCGATTAATGACTGCACTCCAAGTGCTCCAAGTTGTTTCATAACATCGAAGGCTAAGCTCAAAAGATTTTTGAAAACTGCCGATGTAGATACCACCTGGGTCAAAACGAAGAACGACGAGAGTGGGACGACCGCGAGGTGGCATGAAGGTTGCAGCGAGAATCGGCGAGGGACTGCGAAGAGAGATAGCTGATAGGAAGAGGCGGACGCCCAAGGGTGGGCGACGGCTAGCGCATCACACCCCTCTCCTTAAAATCCCTGTGTGTGTGGTGGCGGCGTGCCGTCCTCCCATCCCTCCCTTGGGTTGTCTAATTCTTTCTTTCTTTTCCTGGGTCAACACTCCTGCGCGTGCCAATTGGGGCAAGAAGAGGCAAACGGCCAACGGCTTCACACACGCACACAAAACAACTCTCTCTCTCACACACACAAACACACACACACGGCTTCTTACGCTCGGCCACAGTGGAGGGTGCCCGTGCCGCCTAGTTCCGCGGACGGCCCCTCCAGCCTCCACCCTTCATGTACGCATCATGTAATCCCCACAGACGCTGTCGTGGGATCGCTTAAAGAAAGAAAGAAAACAGGCTGCGCCAGGGTGGGAGGAGGACAGGGTCCCCACCTGCTTGTCATCATGTGAGAGAGTGCGTTATATTCTTGTTTTGTCCGCTTTGGAGCACTTGGAGTGCAGTCGGTAACCTCACATCCAGGGCCGGGGAGCTCAGAAGCGCACCCAGCGGGCCGGATGATCGGCATCGGGTTACGGGCTAGAGAGCCCTAGCCCCGGGGGTGCGCGGTCGCAGGGCCATAACACGGGTCTCCGAGGGATAGCTCCGCGCTCCGGGTTTCCCCTAGCAGCAGAACGCACCCTCTACTCAGAGCTAGTAATACGAGAATACTCTCCGAGGGTTAGCCCCGCGTACCAGGTTTCCCCTTAACTGCAGCACGCCCCCTCTACTCGGAGCTAGTGATACGGCAATACGTACCGCCCCCACGCAGTACCTGTACTACTCGACGATAATACAAGAATACGCAGCTTGGAAGTTGCATTCGCCTATAAAGAAAAAACAGCACGCTAAATTTCGGCGGCTAAAAAGCAAAGGACGGGCGCTTTTGATCGGCAAAGCAAAGTTGGAGTAACGGCGACCGCGTCGCCACAATGCCAGTCCAGTCGCCTGTCGAGCAGCCTTGGCGGCGCGCATGCGCCGCAGGGTTGACCGACAGCCGCGCGCCTCGAGCCTCTCGCTCCACTCGCGGCACGACGCACCCCGCGCGCCGAACGAGGCACACGGTCGCTCTCCGACATGAGGCGCGTTGCACTTGCCAGTGCTGCCCTGGCCTTCTGTCTGCCCGCCCAATGGGTGGCAGTTGCCTCTGCTGCTGTGGCATGCCTTACGGCTGCGACTGGCCGGCGCCTCGGCGCGTCAGCTCGGCTCGGCGTAGCGATCGTGGCCAGCGCAACTCGCCTGGACTCAACGCTCAGCCAGGAGCTCCCGCACGCGCTGGCGCGAGTCATGGCGCATGCAACGCGTCTGAATGCTCGCCTCGCCTCGCGCAAATGCGACCGTCCTCGCAGCCGACAGTCCACCGCCTGCTAAAGAAGCACTGCGACGAATGCGGCACCGGCGACGCATGGCAGGCTGGTCATGACGCAGTCATAGGGTGTTGTGTGCCGTCAGAGTGACTCTCTGTGTGTCAGGGATAGTCAGGGCCGTCCATCATGATCAGAGCTCCAGTAAGCTCGGAGACACCCCATTAGTGCGGCTCGACCTCTTTGAGTCACTGCCTCCCCGGCGGTTTTGCTGTAGAGCCTCTACAACAAACTCTACAGCAAAATCGCGCTCTACATCGCTCTACATCTGCATCGCTCTGTCCCGCGCCGAATGTAGAGCTCTACAGCTCTACAGCGCTCCAGAGCGCTCTACATCTCTACAGCTCTACAGCGCTCTACACTCTACATCCTCTACACCCTCCCTCAGTCAATAACAAGGCTGTGAATAGGGTGCCCACAGGACCCAAAAGAAAATAGCTTTCCTCCTCAAAAAGGGACGCACGAGGCAAATCTGATGTTGGAATGTTTCAATAGGAGAGAGGCCCCTTCCGTTGGGGGACCGAGTGACTAGGAAACGAGGGTTCCCCATTGTGTCCCCTTCGCGTGCGAGCGTGACACTGCACTTGGCGCCGAGCGCCCGCGGCTCAGACCTTGTGCAGGCCACCCCTCGGTGGAGGCACCGGTCCGGACCGATGGCGCTCGGTGTGGAGCAAGCAAGACCCCCCCCCCCCCCCCATCGGCGCGCGCTCGCCATTCCAACGGGCGCCAGGAGCACCAAGAGGACTCCTCATGGCTGCACTCAAGTGGGCTTCGACCGGCCTCGGCTGGGGGGGCGGGTTGTCCCGGCTGCGGACGCGTTCTGCAGCCCCCTGGGCGTGGGTCAGCACCCCAAAACTGCCCCTCGGCGGCATACAGCACTGCCAGCCAGCCTCTTCCTCCTCCTCAAGGGCTGTACTATAGGCCACATATTGCGCCGCCTCCTACTGGCAGCCGGGCGGGCGCGCGCCGCGCGCGCCTCGGCGCGCGCACGGCTCGCAAAGTTCGAACGAGTACTGCCGCCCGGCCGCCTCAAGGCTGCCGGGCGGCAGTACTCGCCTCGCAAGGCGCGTACCGGCTGATCTGGCTGCTGCGCCGGCGGCCGCTGCGCTGGCCGCTGCTGCGCCGGCTGGCGGGCGGTACGGCCGCCGGCGGCCGCTGCACCCGCGCCTTCCCTCGCGGGCGCCGTCGCGCCGCGCGCGCCCAACTCTGCTGGCACACGGCACGCGTCGTCACACAGCCGCGGAGAATAGGTGGTGCAGCGCGCGAAGCGCGCGCGCGATCTCGTACTTTTAAGGCTGGATCCGGCCATTCCAAGGGTATACCTTTGAGAATCCCCAGCGTCCCACCCTCCTAGTCACACTCTCAATTTCTCGACTGGCCAACACGAAGTGCTGCGATCGGGGTTGGCCCATTTCTTTTTTACTTTCTTTTTTTGGGCCCTGTGGGCACCCTACTGTGAACACCGTTGCTGTCTATCCCTTTCTCGACTGTCTGAGCTTGTGCGTCTTGGCCGGGGTTGTGTTTTTGTGTGAATTCCCAGGGCCTCCAGGGCTCGCACCTCAACCTCTCACAGACCAGCGCACAGATAACGTATTTTCTTCTCAAGAACAAGGCTGTGAACCGGTCTCAATGCCCCACCCCCCTGCGCGCGGGCCTTCTAAGCCCGCGGGTAGTCTCCCCCCATCCCCAGGGCCTCCAGGGCTCGCACCTCAACCTCTCACAGGCCAGCGCACAGCGCCATACCAGGTATTTTCTTCTCAATAACAAGGCTGTGAACACCGAGGGCTCGGCTTGCGGAGTAGGGCTGAGTGAGCACCGCAGCTGGGGACGCTCAATGACGTCGGGAGGTTAAGAGCCGGTGGTACGCTGCCCAATTCCCGGGACGCCGCCGCTTTGTCTTCCTCCTACAACCGTAGATGAGGCTCTACGCCGCGCTCTGCACTGCGCTTTACTGCGCGTGCGTGGGCCTCCAGGGCGCGGGCGTCAATGTCGTCGGCCCGGCCGGGCCGTCGCTCGCGTCCAAGCTCCGCACGGATGTCTCTTCGGTCGGATCCATCCTCTCCGCTGAGGGCGCCGGCGCCGCCGCGGGCGCGCTGCTGATACCGCTGCTGCTCGGCCGGCTGCCCGGCCACATCGTGCTCTGCGTCCTCTCGGCCAGCATCGGCGTCTCACTCTTCGGCGTGTGGCTCTGCGGCAGCATCAGAGAGGTGACCATCCTCTACTTCGCGGTGGGCGGCCTCCTTGGCTCCTTTTCTGGCTGCGCCAACACATTGCTCGCGTGGCTGCACGCTGGCCGGAACCTCGGCCCGTGGGTCAACCTGGTAAACGCCTGCTTCGGGCTCGGGTCGGGCGGCGTGCCTCTGCTGTTTGTGGCGGCCGAGCGGCGCCTCGGCGATGGGCTGCGCGTCTTCCCCGCCCTAGGGCTCGCCGCGGCGGGTGTGGCCCTCTCGGCCGCCTGCCTGCCGAGCCCGCCCCGCCCCAAGGACGCCAAGGGTGGCGGAGGCGGAGGCGGAGGCGGCCGCGGCCGCACGTGGGTCGTGGTTGGCCCGCTGATGGTGGTGCTCGCGCTGGGCGTGGGGAGCGAGATTGCGTTTGGCGCGTGGTGCTACGAGTATGCCACCGCGCGGGTGGGCATGCCGCCGACGGAGGCAGCCTACCTGACCGCCGTCTACTGGAGCTCCTTCACGTGCGGCCGGCTGGGCGCTGTGCCGCTGGCGGCGGCGCTGCCTCCCGAGGGCCTGCTGCTGCCGAGCCTCGTCCTCGAGGTGGCCTCGGCCCTTCTCGTGCTCTGCGACCCCTCCTCGGAGAGAGTGCTCTGGGCCGCCACCGTCGGCGCCGGCGTCGGCGTCTGCGCGCTCTACTCGAACGTCATGTCGCTGCTGGCGGGCCACGGGCTCATGTCGGCGCCAATCGTGTCGGCGATGCAGTTCGCGTGCTCGCTGGGGCACATGACCCTGCCCAACCTCGTCGCGCTCGTCATGCGCCACACCAGCCTCGGCCACGAGTCCCTCTTCGTGGTCCTCGCCGCCGCGAACGCCGCCTGCCTCGTCCTGGTGGCCGCCGTCTCGCTGCACTTGCGGCGGCGCTACAAGAGCGCTCCGCCGGCGGCGCTCTTCGACGCGGGGGCGAAGCAGGTGTGAGCGCGTAGGGGATCGCCCACCTCGCTTTGTCCGAGAAGCGTGACGTGTGTGGCTCCTTGCAGGGTGGCAAGGGGCGCGCTCTATTTTGTGTGTCGTCGTTTTTAGTGCACCCGCGCAGCCCCAGTCGGGCTGCGTGGGTGGATTAGCTGTGAGAGTAGTCTTCGTCGTAACGCAGTGTGCCTAGACGATTCCGGGGAGAGGGCTTGATACATGATATGATGGCGTTGTATAATCGGATATATTCTCTCATGGAGCACATAGGTCCGCGGCGGTCCTGTCGCGCGTTTGGTTGTCTGCTGTCCTCGCGCGAGTCTCGTGAGTCGTGTGGGTCTGGACCGGTGGAATCGAATCGTTTTGGAAAAATCACAGAGTTTGGTGGCAAGCAGTTGTGTGGGGCTGTGGGCACAGCTTCTCCACAGCACCAAGATACATTGCAATAGGGTCCCTCTAGTGGAAACATGCAGAGCTGTTGTGGGCTCTGTTGCAGAGTTCACCCCTGCGCCCGCCTGCCCCAGTGCTGGCGATTTACTTGAGCACTTGAGCACTTGTATGATAGGGTCGATTCCGCATGGTACGGGACCCCTCGATCGTCTCGCCCACCCTCACTGGAGTGTTCATTGGGGGGGGTCATAACAAACACGGTACAGGATCGAGGTGCACGCTGCCGAAGCAGTGCCGTCCCCCCTCTCCCCGACGGCGATGGCGGTGTGACCGATCGAGCTACAAGAGGAGCTTGTTCAGCAGGAGATCCGGGATGGTCTGGGTGGCGCACTACCTCACTGGGCCTGAGACCGCCGAGACGCCTCCCATCACCGTCTCGGATTCAGTCTCGATCTGGTTAAGGTCATTCACGGGTGTCCGCGGCCCACTGTGCCCGCTGGTAGGACAGTGATCGCCGCAAACCCTGTGGTCAGCTCCATATGATCTCGGATATTTTTGTAGGCACCGTAACACCAAAAAACTACTATGTCTTCTCGAGTGAAAAGTAATCCGAGCAAGCACGCGGCCGCAGTGAATTAAAAGGGGCGGTTTTCGAGGGGGAATCTGGAGAATCTGGGAATCGGCTCACCACGGACCCCCACCTCCTCGAAAAACTTTTCACTCCAAGACATAGTACTTTTTTAAGGTGCTCTACAACCTAGGCACAAAAGATATGGCATTGCAGGCCATTTAGGGCCCCTTAGACGATCACTGAGTAGGTCGAAATCCCCACTGGGCCGGGAGCAACCTTAATTGTCAAAATTCCTGTTGTGCAAGAGGGGAGGGGGCTCTGACGGAGTGTGTGGCGGGAGAGGGCAGGGAATGGGCCGGGGGAGGGGGGGTGGGGCTCAGCCGTGCAAAAAGCATTAATTAATAACAGTAATGAAGAAATATTGCTCGGCCGTTCACTGGTAAATGAGTGGTATTTACCACTCACTCATGCTGGACGACGAGCGGTGGCGCGCCGTCCCAGAGCAGGCCGGCGCGGGCGCAGGCGGCGCTGCCGCAGACCACGGGGATGGGGATGCGGCGATGGACCGCGCGGACGGCGCGCCCGTGCCGCGGGCGCCGCCGAGGCGGCCGAGGTGCGGCCGGCGCCGCCTCCTGTGCGCCGGGGTGTGCGGCGCGGCGCGCTGGCGGACGCCCTAGGGTCAATTTTACCTGGGAAAACCCGGGTATGCCTGGAAAATACCGGGTATTTTTCCGATTTTTCCGTCAGATTTTGCCTCAGAAGTCGTGGTAAATCTTACCACCATTTGATTGTTTTGGCCGTAGAGTGTTTGATTGTTCTGGGGGGCTATACCAGTAAATCGCCAGCACTGGCCTGCCCCTGGTATAACCGAAACCGTTATTCACAGGAGCGACTTCGGGAACACACACGCGCTCGCGGGCGCGCATGCCGCCTCGCGGAAAACATCTGCAGCACGCTTTGCACTGTGGCTCCTCGGGCTCCGCCCGCCGCCCTCCTAGCCGCCGAGCCCGCGCCGAGATACGGGGAAAAGCAGCCCTCATCGCGCCGTTCCGCTTCTCCAGTGCGTCTGCAGGTTGCCGCACAGCCATATGACGACAAGCACAGGCGATGAGCGTTCGTGATTCGGTTCAGAAGTGTTGCGTCCCACACGTCGCTCGCACACACGTATCTTCTCGTCGACCGCTTGCACGGCATCAACCAAGGTGCACGAGAGCGCGCCCCTTGGTGTCCTTGCTTGGCGGCAGCATCCCGCGTGTGTTGGCTAGCGCAAAGGCCAACGGGTCGCTCTTTTCCAAAGACCGGTTCGCAGCGCTGCACGTCTCGAAGCCTCGCTCGGCTCTAGTGGCAGATTGGATGCGCAGGTGCAGACTGGCTTCTGTGGCCTCCGGCGATACGGGGGGGGGACACACTTTTGGTACCAGGTGCTGGGCGCGCCAGTAGCCGCCAGCGCCATGGCTCGCGCCATGTGGCCAAAAGTGGATGCGTCGTAACGAGGAGCTCATCCATGCGCGAGAGGAGCAGCAAGTCCACGATCCGTGCCTCCTACTGAGCCACGCTCTGGTCCTGCTGCCCCACGGCGTCGCCGTACCAGAAGACGGTGGCAGCGCTGCCGATGCCCTTCTCAAAGGCGAGCCGCTGACTGTGGTGCATCGCCGCCACGAAGAGGTGCGTCGCTCCGCTGGCCTTCAGGCGCGCACCGCACGCGCGCGCGTGCGCATTCAATGGCAGGTAGGTAGGTAGAAAGGTGAAGAACAGTCAGGCTAGGACTGGACACCACGAGCGCGGTATGGGTGGACGCGGGACAGATGATGACGACACGCACGAGCAACACACAGGCACAAACAAGCTCACAAGACACACAGCCAGCGTGGCTGCCACACACCCTGAGTTGGCGTACACATAACTCAGGGCCACATCCTCCCTCGGCCTGTCGCCCCCCCCAGCACTCCAAGGTGCCAAAGGAACAAACAAGGGCACAACAACACAACAGACGACAGGAGGTATCATGTGAGAATAGAGCAGGCTTGCTCCGCCTCTAGCAATCTCGCCGCCAGCCGCAAGGCATAGACGAGACCGTGTGTGGGGTCATGTGAGGTGTCTATGGACGCCCTCCTCAGAGGCTAGCAGCCTGCCGCTAGCCCTTCTCGCACTCACGGGCAGTGACAATTCAATGGGTGAGTGCTTGCGAGCAGAAGCGCGTGTGCTAACTCTAGGCCGCACGTCGTGGCACTATGACGAAGTTAGACGTGCGGCCGCAGCGCGCCCGCCGCAGGCTCGGCGGTGCGCGCGTGTCGAGAAAGTTGCGGGTAGAGCCATGCCCGACTTTTGGAAGGTGAGGCCTCTGCGACGAGTGCCAGCCGCGCTGCGGAGCCACGCCCTTCGAGCCGCGTCCCGTCGGCTCCGTCCCTGAGTGTGTCTCGCCTTGGCGACACACACTCGACGAGGACAGTCCTGCTGACGAGAACGTGTCGCGCGCCGGCGACGGTTGCGGCGTGGTGGTTGCGTGTACGAAGCGAAGATGGCACGACCACCGCCCTGCATCGCAGACCGGGCAAGGAGGGGCCTGCTCCCGTTCCGCGAGGAACTGTGGAGGTCTCCCCCCCTCCCCCGGCCTGAGCAGCTACGGGTGGAAGGCAGCCCCTTGAGTCGAGGGCGGCGCGACCATTGCTGCTCTCCAATGATCAGAGACCCGGTAACTGCAGATGGTCGCGCCGCCCCGCTCCGCGCCGCCCGCCGCCGCGCCGCGCCGCCACCCAATGATTAATAATTAATAATTAATTAACAAATAATTAATTACCCCACCCGCCGCCGCGCCGCCCCGCCCTGCGCCGCCCGCTGCCTCGCCGCGCCGCCGCCTCGCGCCGCCCGCCGCCGCGCCGCGCCGCCGCCCGAGGATTAATAATTAATAATTATTACCTGGGTCGAGGACAGACACGTCTCCACCTTTGCAGGATTTTGCAAAAGCGAGGGGGGAGGGCGCATCGCCGCGCGGAGAGGGCTGGGCACAGGGCACAGGGGATCTCTCTCGCATAGGATACACACTCGGCGGCACGAGGGCAGGGCTGGGCGTCCTATTTGTGCTCCCCCCCGGACCCCTCGCTCTCTCTCGGGCACTATGCAAAAATCTCATTCTCCATCTGACCACTCACTCATCTGGAGGGCTTGGCGAGCGGCCGCGCTGCGGGGCAGGGCTAGCGAGAATGGGCTCCGGCCACTCCGGACAGAGGCGCGGCACCCATCTCCAGCTTCGCGAAATTCTTCATCCGCGAACGGGAGCACATCTCCACCCTTCGCGCTGGCGGTGGCGCCCGGCCCTGCATGTTGCTGCTGCTGCTCGCGGCGCCAGCGCTATCCGCCACACGGCCGCTATCGCGTCCGCGCCTCGCCGCGCCCGCTGCTGCACCTTCGCCGCTGCTCGCCTCAGCCCGACGGCACCGGCACGCGCCACCGAGGGCGAGTTTGGTGCTTCCGGCGGTGAGTGGACCGCTGCTCGCCGCTGGCATCGGCGGCACTTTTGCCGGCTCGCTGCACGCGGTGACGGGCCCGGACCACCTCGCCGCGCTGCTGCCCCTCTCGATAGGGCGGCGGTGGTGGACTGCGCTATACACGGGCCTTTACTGGGGGCTCGGGCACGGGATTGGCGCCGGGCTGGTGGGGCTGCTCGCCTTCCTGGTGCGCGGCGCGCTCAACCTCGACGCGATCTGTGTCTACATGGAGGCGGCCGTCGGCATCTCGATCCTCATCATCGGCGTCAACGGCGTGCGTGAGGCGTGCGCGCGCGAGAGAGAGAGAGCGTGCGGCACACGCGCGGTGCCACACCGACAGAGAGGAGGCATTGATCCGCTGCCGTGGCCCTGCGCAGGCGCGCGAGTGGAGCAGCGACGTGCAGGCGGCGCGTGCTCTCGCCGAAGACGAGCGCGCGGCGGGCGACGCGGCGGGAAGCGCAATCGACGGCTCGGTCGCCGCCGCAGTGGCTCCGCTCGGCGCACCGGGCGAGGACGATCCGGCTGCGGCGCTGCTTCCGTCGGGGGGAGGCCCGTCGGAGCGGCAGTCGGTCGCCTCGACGCTGCTCACCGGCATCCTGCACGGCTGCTCCGGCTCGGGCCACCTCCTCGGCGTGATGCCTGCCCTTGCGATGCCGTCCGTCGTCTGCGCACTCACGTACCTCTCCTCGTTCGGCGTGGGGACGATGCTGGCGATGTCCTCCTTCACCGCGGTGGTGGGGGAGCTGTCGGTGCAGATGGGGGAGCGGATGCACCAGCCGGACGTCCCCGCCAAGCTCTCGCTCGCCACGTCCCTCTTCGCGTGCGCCATGGGCGTCGGCTGGACCGTCAAGGCGCTGCTCGAGCTTGGGGTGGGGCGGTGGCTGCTCGCCTCGGCGCGCAGGTTGATCGCCGCCTGAGCGGAGGGGCGCGCCGGCTGAGCGACGCCCCCTCGATCGCATTCCTCCGCGTGCGGCAGCTGCCGCCCACCTCTCCACAGCCTCTCCACCCCCGACCCGCAACTTGACCTCTCCTCCCGGTGGACCTGTCGCCGCGCCGCGCGCGCTCGCGCCACACACCTACGCTACTTGACTCTGGCTCGCATGACGCCTCGTCCCAACGGGGTTGCACGCGGATCGACGTGCCGCGTTGTGCCTATGACTCGTGGGAGCGGACGGACGCGAGAGTGTCGTTCGGCTCCCTCGGGCGCGGCGCGCGTGTCGATAAGATGTCGCGAGCGAGGGGTGCAACACGGCACTCGCGTAACTATTTGACAGACTTTTTTACGACTTGCGGTAGCGAGGCCAGGTGAATTGCGTGTGGCCGGCGTGCGCGTCGCGAGCGGCCGCAGGCCGGGTCTCGCGCCGCGATGCTGATATAAGAGCGTCTCTGCGCGCGGCTTCAGCGCGTGAACTTCACTCTTCAGGTGTTTCAGCCTTGTGTAGCTTGTGTTCACACTGGCCGATGGGGGCTGGATGGGGGAGAGGCACCACCGTGAGCGTCAGCTGTGAGCTGACACACGAACCGGGCGGACGGCGACGAGCGGAGCAGAAGGTGCCGCCCGTGACCGAGCGCGACATGTCTCATGCACCGGCTAGCGGTGCCGCGAGGCGCGACAGTCTGCGGGGTGTGGACCCTGAGTTGACCTGGGGTTGTGCGCTGGGCCCTCCTGCTCGGCTCCAGCCAGTAGACAAGTCTTGTCATCAACAGAGTAGAAGGATCTGACCTCGGGGCCGATGTGACCAAGCGCTGGTAGCGTGGTTTAACCTCACACCCATGGTCTCACAGTGTGCCGGCAGTCGCCGAGCAGTGTCGCTCACACAAGCCGCAGCACAAGTGACTGAGGGCCAGTGAGGGCGAGCCCATCGCTGTGACAGCTGTGGCAGCCGCACAGTAGGCTGTGTCAACTGTGCAGAGTGTGTGAGCAGCAGAGGAGCTGCTCTCCAGGCTTCTGTCGCAAAGAGCTGCATGCCACCGAAAGCGCTGTCGAGGTTCGCCGAGCGCGGCGCAGGTTGAGGGAAGCCGCCACCGACGAGCGCGTTGGACTTTTCACTCCGGACAAAGACGGGTAGACGCACACGAGCCGCGGTCGTCTACCCGTCATAGCGGCGAGGCGCGGGACCGTCTGTGGCGAAGTGGGTCGCGTCCTCCGATTTCCTCAACTCACGGTCCGCTCCCTCTATCTCTGCCCTCAGCGCCGCACACACAATCGGACACACACGGGCCGCGGAGAGCGTCCTGTCATACACCCCCGTCAGATCGGTTGCCGGCGTCCTCGTTGCGCTTTGCCGGTCGCCGTCCGGCGTGGTTCAAAACCGAGGGCGTGACTGACGTGCGGACGGGGCGAGCGAGAGCGAGGAGGAAATGACGAGAGATCTTGGGGAATACCGCAGCCCCAAGGTGTGCACCGCACAAAGAACCTTACAACGGTCATCGGCCGGCTGCAGCAGCGTCTGCTTGGATGCCGCGCAACGCATCGACGGCCGCATCCGCCTTGTCTGCCGACACAAAGATGTGGTCGTGATGGAAGGCTGCCACGACGTTGCAAGAGATGCTGAGCTCTGCGAGCCGCTGCGATACAATTGCGGTGAGGCCAATGGCCTCGAGCGAAGAGTGCACCTCCAGCGAGATGAGGCGCTGCGTGGTAGAGCGCGCTGCGCCATCTGGAAGCTCGGTGTGCGCAGCCGGCAGGATGAGCGAGAGGCCCTCTGCCTCCCGGAAGGTGCCGATGGCGGCGGCGCGGGCGGCGTCGGCAAGAGCGCCGGCGGTGGAGGTCGCGGGCCGGAGCGAGGCGAAGTAGAACTCGCCCTCCTGGAGCGTCGGTGACAGCGTGGCCAGCAGCCGCGAGAGGTCGGTTTCGCCGTGCGGCACCATTCAGCGGTGGGATGGAGATGGAGCGGCGGTTTGGACGTGCCCGTCGACAATCGCGCGCGCGTAATTTTTAAAGTTTGAAAAGCGAAAAGAAAGTTAGCAGCCTCTCTCGCAATCGTATAGGCGAATGCTTGTGAGCAGCACTCCTTGCAATCCTAGCATCTCACTGTACGATTGCGAGCGCCCGCCCGCACTCGCTCGCAATGGCCAATGCCGCGCCCACATCAACCATTTGTTTTGTCACATCAACAGTGAGACGCAGAGTCGTGTGATTTCTGGTTGGTTTTCAAAAATCTCTCTCAGACTCGCAATCCATCCTACATCTATCTACTATCTGCAGGAAGACTGCTCCGCTCACAATGTGTCGATTCCGCATGGAACCATGGTACGGGACTGAGGGAGGGTGTAGAGGATGTAGAGTGTAGAGCGCTGTAGAGCTGTAGAGATGTAGAGCGCTCTGGAGCGCTGTAGAGCTGTAGAGCTCTACATCCGGCGCGGGACGATGTGAGTCCGATGTAGAGCGATTGGTGGAGCGCGATTTTGTTGTAGAGTTTGTTGTAGAGGCTCTACAGTAAAACCGCCGGGAAGGCAGTGACTCAAAGAGGTCGAGCCGCACTAATGGGGTGTCTCCGAGCTTACTGGAGCTCTGATCATGATGGACGGCCCTGACTATCCCTGACACACAGAGAGTCACTCTGACGGCACACAACACCCTATGACTGCCGTCATGACCAGCCTGCCATGCGTCGCCGGTGCCGCATTCATCGCTGTGCTTCTTTAGCAGGCGGTGGACTGTCGGCTGCGAGGACGGTCGCATTTGCGCGAGGCGAGGCGAGCATTGCTGCGCGTTGCATGCGCCATGACTCGCGCCGGCGCGTGCTGGAGCTCCTGGCTGAGCGTTGAGTCCAGGCGAGTTGCGCTGGCCACGATCGCTACGCCGAGCCGAGCTGACGCGCCGAGGCGCCGGCCAGTCGCAGCCGTGAGGCATGCCACAGCAGCGGAGGCACCTGCCACCCATTGGGCGGGCAGACAGAAGGCCAGGGCAGCAATGGCAAGTGCAACGCGCCTCATGTCGGAGAGCGACCGTGCGTGCCTCGTTCGCCGCTCATGATGCACATGCACATGCACATGATGTTGTTGTTGTTGTAGAGTTTGTTGTAGAGATTTCACGTTGTAGAGCGCCTCTACATCGCTCTACAACGGAGGCACATCGTCACGCGGCGGATGTAGAGCTCTACAGCTCTACAGGCAGCGCTCCAGAGCGCTCTACATCTCTACAGCTCTACAGCGCTCTACACTCTACATCCTCTACATCCTCTACACCCTCCCTCAGGTCCGGACGGGACCCCTCGCTCGTTAGTTAGGCTGTACGTATGTTTCCTCTCGCACCCTGCCTCGTTTCTTTTCCGTGTTTCTCTACAGCACCCCCTCTCGTTTCCTCTCTATTTTCCGGGGAAACCATCCATTTTTTTCGGGCTCTGAGCTAGACTCTGAGCCGAGTCTGAGCACTGAGGCTGGTTTGGGCCCAAATGAGGCCAACTCGGCAAAATATACCGGGTATACCTGGAAAACACCGGGTATTTTGCCGGTCGGTTTCGCCTCAGATTTTGCCCCAGTGCCCAGACCAGCTCTCAGACTCAGGGAACTCTCGCTCGAGTTTCCCAGAATGGAGCTCCAAACACCCTCTGGCCCTGGAAATTTCCGGAAACGCAAAGTGCTGGGGACCCTTTGGTTTCCCTCTGGGTTGCCGGAAACTCTCGTACAGGCCAACTCGCTCGATCGTCTACGACTACTAACTATACCAGCGTAACTCACAATCCGAGCGAAGTCTAAATGCAGCACGGCTCCGCAACCCTATTAGGTAGGGTGTAATAGCAACGCATGCCTCCGATTGGCGATTGATTGGGAGCACAGCGAACATGGCATAATCCTAGAACTCCTGTAGTCCCCCTCTCTCGCCTCAGAGAGAGAGAGAGAGAGAGAGAGAGAGAGAGAGAGAGAGAGAGAGAGAGAGAGAGAGAGAGAGATTTAGCAATACCAAACAACTCTAACTAACACTCACACATCATTTGGGGCCTGGAGTAGTGGAGTTGTCGCCTCAACAGTCCTTCCTTGCATCTTTTTTGGTACGATTGTGAAGCGCAGCCGCTCCATATAGTCGCAGAAGATGTACATGTCGGATCGAGCGCGCTTGAACTCATTCTACCCGGTACCTGGCGAGGCACTCCCACGCCTCACGGGGTCCTCCCTTGCCCGGGGGGGCGAGGGAACCCGAGAGCCTTGCGAGACTGCGTCAGCTGTTTTTTTTCACAGACAGACAGCAAGCAGGCTGGAAGTCCTCGCCAGCCCGGTACCGGGCGAGTAGAGGCCCCGCCCACCCAGGGTACCCTCTCCGAGGACCCATTTGGGTAAGCCGGGGCTCTGCTCCAAGAGACCTCGAGAGAGCGCCTCTACCCGCCAGACCCGGTACTACTCGCGTACCCAGGTACCCGGGTACCCACTGCGGGACGCGGCCACGAAAGGTGTGCAGACCCCAGTTCCGGCGGACGCAGCGAGCGTCGGGACTCCGTCCCAGCAGACGAAGTCTTCCTCGTGGGCTCCACGGCCCGGATCGCGAGCTCGATCGATACGCGACGCGCTCGGCCTCCGCTGGCGGCTGCCGCAAGAGCGGCTGGCTCACGGCAGCGTCTCGCCGGTTGCCGGATAGGAGAGTACAGAACGTCTGGAGTGTAACTGTGTACGTGAGATCGGTTTTGATAACAAGCACGGTCGATCCGTCAAAGCGATACACTCGTTCCTATCACGCTGGACGGCTGGCACGGAGCTCTGTGCCGACAAACAGGAAGAGCCGAGCGGCAAGAAGGGCTCGATGGGGAGCGAGAACCGTCAGAAGAGCTTCAGGTGTAACCTGAAGTCCGTCGTGACGCTCTTGTTTCCCCCCAGGTTTGACCGCGCAGCTTCCAAAACTCGACGATATCTTCCGGAAAGACTGAACATCCCGCAGAGCGGCAGCATGAGAGGCGCAGAGAGGCTGCGAGTGCTCGACGAGTCTTGCGAGCTGCGCGTTCAAACCGGGGGGGAACCGACCGCATCAGGGTGGACTTCCGAAACCTCCGTGAGCACGTTTGACGGTTCTCGCTCCCCATCGAGCCCTTCTTGCCGCTCGGCTCTTCCTGTTTGTCGGCACAGAGCTCCGTGCCAGCCGTCCAGCGTGATAGGAACGAGTGTATCGCTTTGACGGATCGACCGTGCTTGTTATCAAAACCGATCTCACGTACACAGTTACACTCCAGACGTTCTGTACTCTCCTATCCGGCAACCGGCGAGACGCTGCCGTGAGCCAGCCGCTCTTGCGGCAGCCGCCAGCGGAGGCCGAGCGCGTCGCGTGAGTTGAAATCGATGTGGCGAGTCGACCGCCAG